CGGGCCTCCATCACCTTCCTCTCTACTTGCACGAGGACCATCGTGGGGACATGAGCAGGTCTGACACGCAGACCTAACTCCACAGACAGCAGATGAAGGGAGCGACTCAGGAGACCGAGACTCAATGGGGAATGCAATGAGGGTATGTTTTTATAGACAGAGGATTTTCCCAAAGTGACTAAGACATCAGCATCCCCACGGCTCTCCGGGGCTATGAGGCGCTCCTCCACAGTGGTGGTTGTGCGGATGCTCTTTTCATATTTTTATTTCTAAAAATGGCTTAACTGAACATTCCAGGGAGGGATTTTGGTTCCAGGCCCAGCAAAATTGGGGCAGGATGTGAGAATTTAAAGGAAAAAACTGGCCATAATTGAACTAAAGTCATCTCAGGCCGTGGTTTGTAGAGGAGGAATAATGTGAGGAAGATCCAGTGTTCTGTGAGGTGCTGTCTATCCATGCTTCTGGGCGGGGTGAGCAATGGGCCGAGTGTAAGGACTTCCAATAGGAAGGAAGAGGTGTCCGGGGAACCCCACATCGTCACGGAACTCGGGGAGCCACACAGGTGTCATGGTCACACAAGCCGCCTCGGCCCCCGGCACAGCTGCCCTGGGCACGGCTCCAGGTTGGTTGCAATGCCGGGCCACCTTGTGAGGAACAAGGGCCCAGGACAGGCTGGGGAGACCTGTAGCAGGATGGCATCCGAGTAGACTGGAGTGGCTCATAGCAGAGCCCACAGCTCGGGTTTCCTCCCGGAATGCTTTCAGGCACTTAGCAATCATTCCCCCAGGCATTCTGTCCCAGAAACAGCAGCAGGGGAGGTAGAGGTGCAGGGGGTGGCCCAGAGAGGAAACCAGACATGGCCAGAGAAGTGCTGTCCAATAAGGTAGCCCCTAGCCTCATGTGGCTACGCCATTTTATTTTCAAATCAACAAAAGTCACACAAAATTAAAAGCTGAGTTCCTCAGTCACTTTGAACACATTCCCAGAGCTCAAGAGCCACAGGAGGTAGTGGCCACCACCCTGTACGGGGGTGCGGCTGCGGAGGCGTGCAGGTTTTGGGGTATGAGGACATGGAGGTGTGCTGTGCAGAGCAGTGCAGGTCTGAGGGTGTGAGGGTGTGCAGGTGTGGAGCCGGGTAAGTGTGGAGGTGTGCAGGTGTGGGGGGATGAGGATGTGGAGGTGTGCTGTGCAGAGCAGTGTGGGTGTGAGGGTGTGAGAGTGTGCGGGTGTGGAGCCGGGTAAGTGTGGAGGTGTGCAGGTGTGGGGGATGAGGATGTGGAGGTGTGCTGTGCAGAGCAGTGTGGGTGTGAGGGTGCGGGGGTGTACAGGTATGTGGGTGCGGGGGTGTGAGGGTGAGGAGTTGCGTGGATATGGGACCTTCCCATTGATGCTGGTGGTTCTAACGCCAGCGCCGGCGCCAGCTGGGCTTTGACCAACTAAAGGCAACTGGGAGGAACGCCAGGGTTCAGGGCAAAGGAAGTCCCAACCATTTCCTGTCTTAACTTGTTTGACGCTAGCAAAACTGTCACATAGACATTAAGGTTTCTTGTTAATAAAGCGGTTTTGTTCAGTGTCCTTTACCGCCCAAGAGAAGAGACCTATGTAACAAACTGCAGGAGGCCTTATAACAGCGATGGCGAACATTTTGAGCTCGGCCTGTCAGCATTTTGAAAAACCCTAACTTAACTCTGATGCCGTGTCACATATAGAAATTTTTTGATATTTGCAACCATAGTAAAACGAAGACTTACATTTTTGATATTTATTTTATATATTTAAATGCCATTTAACAAAGAAAAATCAACCAAAAAAATGAGTTTGCGTGTCACCTCTGACACACGTGTCATAGGTTTGCCATCACTCCCTTATAGGGTCTCAGCCAGGGATCCAGGCCCCTGAGGAGGCTGAGGATCCGTTCATTTCACTGCAGACCTGAGGGGGTGGAGGGCAGGGTGGTGAGGGCAGTGGGACCCCTGGTGGGGAAAGGGATAATGCTGCCAGCTTGCCCCCTCCCCCTGGAACGCCAACGGAGAGGAAAGTGGGCGGGAGAAGGGGCAGCCAACACTGAGGGGCTGCCGTGTTGGGCAATCCTGACGGTGGGCGTGGCTGGTGGTCACCCCGTGGAAAGCAGTGTCACAGAGCAGGTGAGGGACAGAAACAACAAGAGTGCAGGGGAAAGGCTGCAGGGCCCGCCCTCTGTCCCCCCTTCCTCACTCAGGCCTGGCCGCATCCCCTCCTCACCTCCGCCAGCAAAAACAGGGGCTCGATCACATCTCTCTCTACTTGCAATTCAAAATGAATCAGCTCCTGTGCCAGCTTGTCCTCTGTCTCCCCACAGAGTTTCAGCATCTTCCTGCAACAGAGGAGAAATCCACGCTGCACAGCCCAGAAAGCGGGTCACGGCGCCACACTGCGCACCTCCTGGCTGGGCACACCTTCATGACAGAGGTGCTAATAAAGCGAATGCTTCCCACGGTGTCCCTTGGACCAGCCTGCTCCTCCATTACTACTTCTGAAATTATCAATTTTTTAAATGATGCTGAGTACCTACTATGTGCCTGGGGTAGAGGGAACATGTAGAGAAACATAAGAGAGATGCGGAGAGAACGAGAGCGGAGCCCACAGGTCTACCAATGACCAGTGCTCCTGCCTCCCCCGGGGCACTGGACACATTGTTTCCAACAGGCCCTTAGAGAAAAACTCTCCCCAGCCAGAAACCTTTCTCAATGCAGGATGGACAGACAAAGCAGGAGTGGAAATCCATTCCGAAGTTATTAATAAGGAGCAAAGAAGAAAAGGCCGAATGAGGCGAAAGTTTTGCCATATTCCTAGAAGCAAGAATACATTTCAAAAAGGTTAATTCCCCCGGACGGCATTCAGGCAGTCCTCGCTTCTCATGGTACCACATTAACTGAAACCGTTGAAACGTTTGTACTAATCAACAAGAGGCCAATGTTGTTCTGAGGTTAGTAGGCACCTTCCCTACCCTTACTGTACACTTCTCACCAAATGTGTGTGTGCTCATTTACAGTATATAACGCATCACCTACCGTAAAGCGTTTACACAACGGTTTCCCGTGGAATCTAGCCTCCCGTTACATGCTTTTTAAATTCATCATTGTCTCTGGGGCTTACCCATCGTGACACACACAGATTTAGGTCGTTTTGCTGTAGAGTTCCATCCTGTGAATAAACCACCACTTATTAGCCTGCCCTCGGTCCACGGTGCGTGGCTCTTCCATGCAGTGGCCCCGCGCGTGTGCTTGTGAGTCCCTGCATGTGTGAGGATTGTTCTGTGCGAAGGAGAGGTGTGCGCACCCTTAACCTCACTAGAGGTGCAGATGCAATGGAGAGTCCCACTGCTCTGCCCTCTGGCAGCCCTGGGTGTGGGTAGAAATGTTAACCTCTGCCACATGGTGGATACAGAGCATTCTCTCCTCCTGGTTTTAATTCCCGTTGCTTGACTACCTGGCTGCCTTCTCATGACTTGGGTCCAGCAGGCTCCCTCTTCTGTGAAGAGCCTGTGCACATTCTTTGGAATTTCTGTATGGGGATATGTTATTTGAAGTTACTTGTAGGAGTTCTTTATATACTTACAGATATGTGTGTGGATGCAGAGGGCTTTCAAATTCTTTTTCATATCCGCTATAAATGTCAACACCCAGACTTATTTTTATACCTTTTAATGGTGTTTTTGACCTGATTCTTCTGTTACTTGCCTCCATATTTCTAATGTTAATTTTCTTCTAATTGTAAGCATTAGTTGTTGACTGTCGAGTATGGAAAATGGGAATTTAGCTGTCTTTACATTTCCCCTCCCTCCATGTATGAATACCACAGGTGCTTAGCACTGCATTTGCCCCATCTGCCATGGGGAGGAAGGCTGGGTCGTGTAGTGGCCAGTGGTTTCTCCTGCACATTGGTTTGTTCTCTGTCAGTTCATCATCGCCTGGTTTTGATTTCCTTGTTCAGTCTTCTACAGACCTGACTGAACCCCAAATCCTCTGCCACTTTCCTAGTTTGTCTCTTAGACAACTCAACTATATTTGATGCGAATGAATTTCATCTTCTTGAATTCCTCTCTCGCAAAGCCGTGTCACTCTAGGCCAGCGGTCGCCAACCTTTCAGACCTCACGGACTACCAACGGTCCACAGACCACCGGTTGGCGACCACTGCTCCAAAGGTTTCCTTAAACCAGCGGTTGCCAACTTTCGGACCTCACGGGTCACCAGTGGCCCACAGACCACCAGTTGGCAACCGCTGCTCTAGGCTGTTTGCCTTCTGCCCTGGGCACAGCTGTCTTCCCGCATTTCCCCCACCATCTCCTGCAGGTTCTCTCTCTGTCCTGAGTGTCCTGTTCCCTACATCCTCTGTCTCCCCTTCCTGGTCACTCCCTCATTACACAGCATATCTTGCTTAGCTGCCTGAGGAACTGTGGGTGGGGCGTCGATTTCTGAGAACTTACTCATCACGACACTGCCCTCCACCCAGCAACTGACAGCTGGGCAGCCTCGGCTTAGCCCGTCAGGCTGCTGAAGGCATCGCTCATCATCTTCCAGCGCCCACTGTTGCTTCTGGCAAGGCTAGACACATTCAAATTAGTGACCCTCTTATGTGACATTTCTCTCTAGAAGATTGCAGAATCTCTTACTTGTCACTAGTGTCCACTACTGAGTGGAAGCCCTGGCCCCGGTGTAATTTTTTTACTGTGTTGGGAGTTCAGCGGCCCTTAAGTGTCCTTCGGTCCTCATTCTCTCAGATCATTTTATCATCATCATCATCCTCCCTTTATTTCCTTCCCTTACAACTCCTGTCACTGGAGCCTAAAATCTCCTCTGCTTTCCCAACTCTTCTGTTTTCTGTCATCGTCTTCTTGCCCTCATTTCTAAATTTCTTCAACCTCACTTTCCAAACCTACTGAGAATGTCATATTCTTCATTTCTATCAGCTTGCTTTTGATCTCAGAGTGCTTTTCCCATAAATACTTTTATTCACATCCTATTTTCTGTTTAACAGAGGCTTTATTTTCTCTTCTCACTTGAAAATATAAGTGATAATTTTCCTGAAATCTTCTCCTCCCCCAGGCAATATCTATTTCTTCCTGATTTCACTCTTGTATTATTTCTCCAACTGTTTTGGTGTCTAAGTTTCAAGTGCCTAGTGGTCTTCGGTCCTGTCTGTACGTGAGGATAGAGACCAGCATCTTGGAAAATGTGAGCGGAGCTCACAGCTGGGAGTTCGTCGGCAGGGTGATCTAGCCGGGCAGTGCGCTGGAGTACTGCCCCCTTCAGCGGCTTCCGGTCTGCAGTTCATTCCTCTGGGGCTGGAGACACCTCACAGAAGGCTCTTCCAGTTTCATGCTTAGGGAATAGGAGCCTGAGGGCTGCATGAGTGGGGAGACAGCTGGAGTCTCAGTGTCCAGCTGCAGTAGGTCACTCAAGTCTCTTCTTGAATAACCGGTGCCCTTACCTGGTGTCCCCAAGTCTAGAGAAGCTGTTTTACCCAGAGAATAAAGCTCCACCATTCAGCTGGGATTGGGGGTGAGGGGATGAGTCTCCCAGAGGTGAGGTAAGTGCTGGGTTTGAGCAACCCAAATGGTAGGTGACTAGCTTTACAATCCACACTCGTAAGTTCCATCACTTCCCTACCCTCAGAGACCCACTGCTCCGACATGCCTGGTGCCACCAATCCTGAGCCGTGTCCACATGTGAAGGAGTAAGTGGGGTTGGCTCTCTGGATAGCCTGCCTTGGGAGTCAGATTTCGGGAACTTGCTAAATCAGTTCCCAATCAATCATGTTTTACAGCTCACAAAATTTTGTTGCTATTGTCTTCTCTCTTGTCTTTCCTCTAGTTTTGGGCTTATGCCTTTTACGTAAGAATGGATCTCTTTGTTGTAGTAGATTTTGAAGAAAAAAAATTAGATGTGTGTGTTCAGTCCATCATCTTTGCCTGGGTGTCCTCTATCCCTTACTCTCAAGCGTGTGTGTCATGATTTAGGTGTGACTCTTAGAAAGAGCATATAATGACTTCATTTACCCACCTGACATTCTCTATATTATAAACAGTTGAGTTTTCTCCATTTAATCCCTAAGGATTACAAATACATACAGTAGCAACTGTTACCTTCATTTTCTGTTTTCTACTTATTATGCTTTTTTTGCTTACTTTTTTCTCTTTTAGTCCCTTCTATGTTTTTTCTATTTTATTTCCCTTTTTATTCTTTTACTATTTGAAGTTATACATTCTATTTCTATTCTTTTCGTGGTTACTCTAACTTTTCTAACTTGTGCATTTACTTTAAATGTACTATCTTTATTCTCCTTCCAAACAATGTAGGAACCTGCAGCACTAGTTCCCTTTCCAATGTTTCATGTTAATATTTTCTAGTATTTTAGTGTCGCTTTGCTTTCTACTCCCATCAAATTAATTATTATTATGTTTCTACCATTAATTCAATGCTTATTAATATTTACTTACACTAAAGGGTAGCAGAATGTGCCAAAATATGCCACAATGGCATAAGGATTACTTTGAGCTGAAGGCAATTGAGAAGATTCAAATACAAAATAAGGTCTCTACCCCTCCGCCACCCCCCCTTCCCCTCTTGCCTAAAAGCAGAACATAAACTTGTAGAAGTGTCTCTCTTGCCCACTCTACCAGGAAGGACACAGGTAAGTCACCAGAGACAACTCTGGGCTCTTCCCACCTAGAGGAGGCCCCAAAGAAGTAACGAACTTTACTAACGACTCTTATTTTCCAATAGTTTCTCCATATCGTTGCCTTCCCATAATCTGTCGCCCTAGAAACTCAAATTTATTTTCCTTTTTTTTTTTTTGCCACTTCTCTAAAAATCACTGTTCTTTTGTTGAGATGCTATATGAGCCCGTTTCAGCCACTCCTTTGAGTTACTAATGGCCGAGTTCTGCACACAGTAATAAAATTTGCATGCTTTTCTCCTTAATCTGTCCTTTGCCAATTTAATTTGCAGAGCCATAGGAGAGGAACCTAAAATACATAGAGGAAAAAAGACTTGTTTTCATTCCCACACCATATTCACTATTTTTTTTTTCTTTACAAATGCTCTCTTGCTACTTGCATTTCATTCCTGTCTTCTGGACATAATCTATTTCACATGAACTTAACTAGTTCTTTCAGTGAGAATACACAAGCAGTAAATTCTCTAAATTTTGGCTGAAAATATTGTTGTTATCCCTTTATTCTTGAATAATAATTTAGTTTGTCATAGAATCTTGCATTCCTATATTTTCCCTCAATACTTGAAGATTTTCCTTCATTATTTCCTGGCATTTATTTTGGCTGATGGATAAATAGTCTGTTATCAGTCTAATCACTCTTTAATATGTAATTATCTTTTTCTCTGCTAAAATGACACTTTTTTTCTTTTTAATAATTTCCAGTTTTATGACAATGTGCCCAAGGATAGATTTCTTTGTGTTGATCTTAATCAGGATTTTTTGTGCTTCTTAAATCTAAAGATTATGTTTTTCATCAAATCTAAAATCTAGAAAGGAAAAATTCAACCATAAACTTTCCCTCTCCATATTTTCTTCTTAGGAACTACTGCTAGACATCATCCATGCCTCTCCATTTAATAATGCCTACATCCTCTTCTCTTGCACTTCATCCTAAGTGGTGACTTCAGATCTGTTTTGAAGTTCATCAATTTTTTATTTGAGTGCAATTTTCTGTTTATCATTAATAAGTTTTTATATTATAGTAAGAATAATTTGAATTTAAATAAGTTCTATTATTTTTTCTTTGATTCTTTTTTTTTCATATTGTTTGCTTCTTTGGTCAAGGATTATTATGTCCTTACTTAATTTTTAAATTGAGGCATAATTAACATTATAACATTATATTAGTTTCAGGTGTACAACACAATGATTTAATATTTGTGCTTACTGCAAAATGATCACCACAATGGCCTGGTTAACACTTTTCACCATACATATATAGTTACAACATTTTTTTCTTAAAATATGATTGCTTCAAAAATTTATCCTTGCACATGGGCCATGCTAATCTTCTATGTATTGTTCCAATGTTAGTACATGTGCTGCCAAAGCACACAATGTGCTTACTTAATTTTAAAATTTCATTTTAAACATAATTATTTTATATTTTCTTTCAGACTGTTCTATTGTTTTTGTTTCTGAGGGCACTGATTCTCCTCCTCATTGTGCCTGAGGAGTCGCTCTCATGTCAATTCTATTTTTAGTTTGTTTTTATTATAAGCTCAAGACCAGCCAGGGTTGCTCTTCTGGGAATCCCATATGCTTTGACATCTGACATTGAGAGGATTCATATCTGCATTTACTGGAGCCCTAGGGATTTCAATTGTCCATCAGCAGTTTTATGTTAATTCTCCGCCTGGGAGGTGCCCCACTGCAGAGGCAGTAAATATAACTGGGCCTGGGGTTTTGCTTCTCACTGGCGACCTTTCCTTCCTCTGCAGGGAGTCCGCAGCCAGACTGAAGGCCTCCTCAGTGCTTCCCCAAGCAATGCTGGTCCCCTTTCTACGGATGGGGACTTACCTAGATTTGGCAAACCCACGCCTGGTGTCACCTTACCCAAGAAGTGTGTCATCTCCCAGGATAGCTGACCCTTCCATCAAACACTGGGCCAGTGTCGTCAGAGGCAATTTTTTCTGAAAGAAAAAAATGGTTGCAATGAAAACTACTTTCAGCATTACCTGCTTTCCTTAAAACAGCAAAAAGTCAAATACTCACCTAGATATTACATTAGCTAAGAAACAAAATGACTTTAAAATATGTTTAAAACCTAAACATTTACAGGGTTTATTAATGATGGGACAGATTCAGAGATGTCAAAGTTCAGAAAGGTAAAACTGAATTAAATTTATAAATTTGGAATAGAAGCCTAAAATTTACATGCTGTATTTTAACAGAAAGTGGGACAGCAGCAAGAAAGAAAGAGAAAAATCTCAAAATTATATTAACAAAGATTGGAGTAATGCCGTAATTTCCAAAAACCAACTTCTCACCTGAAAAGTGTATTAGCCACATTTTATATATGAGGCAGATTATGGTCAAGAAAGAGAGAAAAGCCCAGCCAGTGTGGCTCAGTGGTTGAGCATTGACCTATGAACCAGGAGGTCACGGTTGGATTCCCAGTCAGGGCACATGCCTGGGTTGTGGGCTGGATCCTCAGTAGGGGATGTGCAAGAGGTGACCTATCACTGATTCTCTCTCATCATTGATGTTTCTCTCTCTCTCTCCTTCCTCTCTGAAATCAATAAAAATATTAAAAAGTAAAAAAAAAAATCAGAAAATGAGTATCAGGGAGCATGTGAAGACACCAGCGCCTATCATGCTGCTGGTGGAAATGTCCATGGGCAGCACTGGGGGAAAGTCCAGCAGTATTTCAATTGGGTGAACAACTGTCACATGGCCCAGCAATTCCACTCTGGGGCAGACGCTGAAAATAACGGAAAACAAACGGTCAGACAAAAACATGTGCCTGGATGTGAACAGCAGCACTGCTCACAGCAGGCCAAAGGCGGGAACAGCTCAACCATCACGAGCGAACAGACAAACAAACATGGTGCAGCCACACAAGGGAGTATTACTCAGCCATAAAAAGGAATGATGTCTTAACACAGGCTACTACCTGGATGAACTTGAGAACATCATGCGAAGTGAAAGGAGCCAGACACCACAGAGCACATATTGTATGATTCTATTATATGAAGTGTCCCGAATAAACAAATCCATAGACACAGAAAGTAGATCAGTGGTTGCCGGGGGCTGCGGGGAGGGGAAATGGGGAATGATTGCTTATGAGTATGGGGTTTCCTTTTGGGGTGAGGAGAATGTTCTGGAATTAGATAGTGAGGGCAGTGGCACAAAGTTGTGAATGTACTAAATATCACTGAATTGCACACTTTACAATAGGTAAAATGGTAAATTTTATGTTGTGTGGGGAGCCAGGAGGAGCACGGGGAGGAAGAATATTGCTACAGGAGGGCAAGTGCAGCATGACCCACTGCCTCCTTCCTACTGGCAGGCCCTCCTGAGCCGAACCCCCCAGCACACACTGACAACGAGGTAAGAGCTGCGAGTAGGCCTCCAGCCCACACTGCGACACCGACAGCTCTTCCAACGGAAAGAGGCTGAACTGCATCCAGTCCCGAGCCTCCTGCCATATTCCCCGGAGAGCCTCCGCTCTGACTCATGCCCGATCGGTATTAGCAGTGCCTGCCCAGGCACCGCACCGGTGCTGAGTGAGAGGAGACCATTCGGAACGCACATTCTAGTGCCGGCAGACAAGTAATAAATACAGAAACTATGGAGGAGATCCTTTCAATAGTTGGAAGCGCTATGGACAAGAGAAAGCAAGAGCTGGATGAAGGGGATGAGATTTAAGATGATCTGGAGTAAGAGAACGAGTCAGCCAAGCCTCAAGAAGATCTGGAAAAGAGCATTCCAGGTAAAGGGAGTGACAGTGCAGAGGCTGTGAGGAGAGAAATGGCATGGCCAGCTCCAGGTCCCCAAGGAGGCCAAAAGCTGGAGCGCAGAGGTGACAGGAGAGTGGTGGGAAGCGGGCAGAGGTGAGATCGTGCGGGGCCTGTCAGCCAGAGGCAGGTTCTGTGTTGCACTCTAAGGGCATCTGAGGACAACTGGAGGGCTTAAGAAGAGTATGGTCCAGCCTGGCTGGTGTGGCTCAGTGGTTGAGCGTTCACCTATGAACCAGGTCACGGTTCGATTTCCAGTCAGGGCACATGCCCGGGTTGCGGGCTTGATCCCCAGTTGGGGGTGTGCAGGAGGCAGCTGATCAATGATTCTCTTTCATCATTAATGTTTCTATCTCTCTCTCCCTCTTCCTTCCTCTCTCTTTAAAATCAATAAACATATTATTAAAAAATATAGGGCATTCCTTGAGGCTGATAAATCCCAGCACGGCTTTAGTTTTATGGACTCGGTATTATATGCATCCGATTTGTAAACTAGAGTTTCAAAGCTGGACACGTCTTTGAAATGGGTGTATTCATCTGAAGGAGAACTCCGATGTGCAGTGATTCCTCTGTGTGGCTTTGTTCCGCAGCCAGAAAGGAGCGTGCCAGTCCGGTGTGGGGAATCTTTACCTCAGGCTGGGCATCTAAAAGAACTTAACAGCTATACTCATTAAACTCACATGGAGAACATGGTCCTGTTCTTCATCGGGGTGATTCTGTGCCCCCTGGGGCACCTGGCAATGTCTGCAGACTGTTCTGGTTGTCACAATGTGGGGAACAATACTGGCATCTGGTGGGTAGAGGCCAGGGCTGCTGAGCATCCTACAACGCACGGGAGTCCCCCAAAATAATGAATTACCCAGCCCCCAACACGATGAGTGCGGAGGCAGAGAAACCTGGCGCAAGGAAAGGTCTTCCATCTGCAAGTTCCTAAAATGTCCTAGTAACCAGCCCGTGAGGATGCGCCTCCCTGGGTCAGACAGCACACGCGTGGCACTGTGAGCTCACACAGGAAGGCCGTTCTGGTTTGTGCGAGCAACCAGAGTC